AAACTGTCATAGGACATATATGACACAAATATGCACTGTTCAACCAACAGATATCAATTTGAAATTAATTTGAAATGTATCACTTTGATTTGAATTAGCCAATCTTGAAGTATAATGATATAAAAATACAAAGAGAAAAAAAAAAACGTATTCCGTTCTTTGTTATCAACAAAAAGAAGTGCATTAAACATTACATTATGTCAGGGTTTATCAGACTGGGGTTTGTGAAGGAACTGCAGGGGGTTCGTAAATTGAAGAAAAGCTAATAATGAATTAAATCCTAAAATTGTTCAATTAAAAGAAAGAAATACATTTGAATATAAAAGCAATCAAAATAAAACACTTTTTAAAAAAGATGAAATATTTTATTTGTTTATGCTGCGTGACCTCAATTTTCTGTGCAAGTATAGCCGCCTGACCAGTCAAAACTAGAGGACTTCCCAAATATAAGCAATATGCTATTTAAAAAAAAAAAAAGAAAAAGAAAAAAAAAGAGTAAAGGATAAGACAGAGGAAGTTATGACAAGGTTGACATTCACTTGTCATTAGAACTGTTACATTCTAGGTGAGCTTTCGCTTCAATAAAGTGTGCATCTGAAATGAAGGAGGTCAAACTGTGTAAACTACTGGCAATATGTATTTTACACTTATGTGCGTCATAAAGCAGCATCGACCCAAAAGTAAACACTACATGTGATTATCCTTGTTTACTTAACAGGGGATCTCCCCACATAGCTCAAAATACTCCAGTGCACAAAGCTGCACATTTGTGAATGAGAGACACAAAAATAACATGCTCAATGGCTCTCTTTAAGGGTTATCATATTCTATACAATACTTCTGTCATGATTTAACATCCCTTGTTTGCTTGTTCAGAATAGAGTTCATTAAGAGGCAATGTGGAAGCATTACAAAATACATCCAGACAAGGACCTTTGATCTACTGGGTCTGCATTACATAATAATCATTTTCTTGCACAGCCCAGTGGGTTTGGTTCGAACTGGCATCTTTCATGAATAAATGTGATTATTAGACAATAGAGACTGACCAGTGAATGGTGTGTGAATTACAGATTTCCTCTGTAATCACTATAGTGTTTTTGTTTGGGGTGCAGGGGCCAGAATTTTTTGGAGCAAACTGAATGACAGCATAGGTCAGCATTCAGACTTACATCACTTCCTCTGTGCATTTTTGACAAACAGCACAAAGCCAAGCTTTCAAAGTGAAGTGACATCAATGAATACTAGTAACAATGAATACATATCATACAAATGTCACACAAATGATGAGATAATAATGGAAATTCTCAGGGTAACTTTGTGACTCAGCAGGACAAATGCACCATTCATTAATTTCTCATTTAATTTCCTAGGTTTTGTATGATATTAACTGTTTTGTTTAGGTTTTGCTTGATATTACCTGTATATACCATCCATCATTTAACGAGTAAACACATATGTGTGCTTAAAATCTTAATTGACAATAAAAGAAAAAGTTTGAATTAAAAGTACTTTTTTATTATTATTATTAAGAATGCCTTTTCATTCAGTATATGTCGTTTATTTGACTCTTCTTTGTAACGAGTCATTCAAGTCCAAAAATCTTATGGAGCAACAAAATTGCCAAAGTGCAGCGATTACACAGCGCCATCTAGCGATCACTGCAACGAAGTGGAATTGCAAGAACCCTGCAACGGCTGTTTGGTGAATTTTAGAACACATTGCAGAGAGATATTGTCACCTATTCCCATATTTTATGCAAGATCAATATCAGGTCTATGAAAAACACATCAGCCTTTCATGAATGGGAATATTTACTCAAAAATACTCTAACTTCTCAGTAAATCCAACGGGCTCAGCAATTCACAAAATATACACAATACGTAAAAACACACACACACACACACACACAAAAAAAAACACACAGAGCAAACGTGTTATAGTAGGTTAAGTAAGAGTGCGCAGGTGCCCATTATAGAGTATCACCGGCGATTTAACTATGGCTATAATGATTTTTTTCCTTATTCAAGAATACGTTGAAAATGCAGATCATGAAAAAAATTCATTCTTATGAAAGGCCATTTTTCTGGGGCTTAAAGTCAAACAGGCGTTGCAACTGTCCGATAGGCTATACAAGAGAAACGTTAATTAAATTCATTAAATGAATCATTAAAAAAAAAAAAAAAAATCTTTAAAATAGTCTAAGCAGTGAAGCAATTTTATTTCAATATATCATCATATCAGTCCATTTTTTTTTTTTTTTTGCTGTTCTTTTTTTACAACTATTAATTTAAATTATTTTGATACTTCTCAAATGTTATAATATAATATGATATAAGTTAATGACAGATGCATTATAACAAAACAATAACTTTATAAAGTTCGATCACTTATTTAGTCTTCATCGTCTGTTGGATGTCCAGCGGGGTGTGTTACCCTGTTCTCAGTACTGCCAAAGAGGGGAAATGCTTATCGATTGATCTGATAAGAGAACAATTTAAAGGCCAGTTGCAGAGCTTGCGCCAAAACAGAGCAATACAAAGGAGATAGAGTGTGCAGGCTTCATATCAGAACAAGACAACATATAGGCTAAATATTACAGATAAAATCAAATAATGCTCATCTTACTCTTTGTCACTGTTTGTGGAAGTAGCATCGGCGTGGAGAGCCTCCCATTGCCCGACTCTGGTCCACATTTGGCAAATGACTGGGGAGAAGCCGTCCGGTTCCGACATCTGTATGCAGCCAGGCACGGTTTACATCTGCAAATAAACGCAGACGGGGAAATAAGTGGATCGTACATGCAAAGTTCGGACAGTAAGTGACAACAGCTCAAATCAATGTCATGTACTCTTAACTCAGCGCTTCACCTATATGGGTCAATGAAAAATAAGGATGGCCGAGATGATAAAGAGGGGGAATCTTTTAAAATACAATTTAAAACACATGTGTCGATTTCTTAGAAGTGTATTTTTTTATATTGATTTCAAATATTTTTAAGACAAAGGCTATACCACAAAAATGTCAAGTGGTGTAACCATCAAGTTAAAAAGCACGTGCGTGTACAACTGAATCAACTTATTTTTTAGTAGGCTATATTATATATTACAAGTTATATATTATCTATTGATATATAAATTATATATTATAACATTTTGTGCCATGAATAGCCTATTAAAGCGTTTTCTTGGTTACTCCATTTGACCTGAACAAAATGTGTATATTCATAAAAAAAAGCCCTTGACACAACGTCCTATGAAAATTTTTTTTCTTTTCTTTTTTTCTCTGATTTATGGTTTTCGTACTGAAAATATTAATAACGTTTATTTTTTTTCTATGAATTGCATTATTATTATTATTGTTATTATTAATTAATTTCTTTATTTGTTATATGTTATGCATCATTATATTATTCTGCAACATGCACTATGCCTTTTCGGTACTCCGCAATTTGATGCAAATCTCAGCATTGCAACTGGAATTTAAATGAAGTTGATGAGCATCTTTGATTTTTATCCTGTTCATGTCAAACCCGTATTTGTGAGCCATTTTCCTACCAATAGGCTAATGTTTAAATGAAGATTTTAGAGCTTTTCGCTTCAGCTCAGACAAAACAAGAATCTTTACTTTTACTGCATTCTATAAAAACCGTATTTTGTTTCCTAAAGGTTTGGTTGAGATACGGCCGGTGGATACGGGCTGTGTTGCCATTAAAGGGGTTGCAAGCTACCGATTTCTCTGCATGGACAGAATGGGAAAATTGTATGGATCGGTAGGTTTGACAATCAGATGTAATAAACAATGTACACAATAGTCTTCTCTATTTGTAGCCTATTAGCAATTCTATAGAGAAGCATATCTACCTAAAGAACCCTATTTGCTGAAATATATGTGTTGAGGGTTTAAGGTTATTTGTAGGTGCACTTTCAGAATAGCTTTCTTGGAACCTGAAAGATTCTGATTCATATACGAACTGATATTCTTCAGAGTGCACGATTTAGATTCCTGACCACAAGATAATGTGCATAATTTCAAAAACAGTAGAGTTCAGGTAGCCTATATTGTCTTACTGACAGAGGTCACAAGTTTGGACATTTTCTGAAACTCTTTTTAGAACAGTGCCATTCATATAGCAATAATTTAATTCTTAGAGAGTGGAACTTTGGCACTCTGCCACCGATCATAATAAAATTACACACATTTGTCAGAGATAACCTTGTTTTTCTAAGGTCACCTCAGGATGTCCTTTATGACTGTGGAAGTGTAGACAAGCCGATTTCGCCACAAACATCTAGTTTTATTGACATTGTGTTCTGGTCATGGGTTCATTACTCCCATCTGACGTTACAAACCAAGAACATTATTTTAGGACAGGACGAACAACAGTAATCATGCATATAACTCCAAAATGAATACAAGTTTGAGTAAATGTCCTGGAAAACTATCCTTCCCTATTAGATACTGAACTGAAATTTGTAATAGCTGCCAAACCAATTAAAACAACTGATCACAAATTATCAACAGTGCAAATATGCCTTGAGAGTACTTGACATTTCAATTTACTTGACTGACCAGAACAACATACAAAAATGATTCCCACAAAAATGTCCAAATGCGCTGATTTCAGTGGTGTCATAGCAGCAACCTTTGCCCATGGCGGGGAATGTTTGCAAAGCTAAAACCTCATTGAAAAGAAACAGCAATAACAACCTTGGTCTCTCCATGGTGTGCAAACAGCTATCAAAAAAACTTAAAAAACACATTGCAGGGCAGGTTGATGAGACATTCATATTGCATAAATTTGTGTGCATTCATGCTGTTTCTTTTGTTTTGCAGCACACTTACACCAAGAAGGGCTGCTCCTTTTTGGAACGCATCATGCCAGATGGTTACAACATCTACATCTCAAGCAAACATGGAGCTCTTGTGAATTTGGGTGGTGCTGAAAGCAAGTTGCACAATAACGACAGGACTGCTGCATCTCAGTTCCTGCCCATGGTCAACACACTTTCTCAGGAACCTACCAACCACCGTTCAGGGGAACAACACTTTCCCGTTGACCCTGAACAGGACCATCAGTTGGGCCTTGAAATAGACAGTATGGACCCTTTTGGAAAGATCTCTCAAATTGTGATCCAAAGTCCCAGTTTCAACAAAAGATGAGGAGTGAACAATCACTTGTGAATGTTCTACGGAAACGACCCAGAGGTCGACTGTATAAAATCAGTCCTGCCATAAACCAGAACACAGGGCCAGACTTTCAGAAAGAGACGATGTTAGAAAGTCCAGTGAAAGCAAACGGCACACTGGACACCATCACGGGACAAATGTAGTGTTATGGACAGAAAAAACTAAATCACTCCATATGTTGAAACTTGTTGAAAGATGAACCATAATGGTGCAACACCTGCAGCTTGAATTTATTTATTTTTTAATGTGTTTGTGACGACCTTGCTTTAATTATTGTGTAAAACTTTATAGCTAATAAAGTATTTACTAGACAAATCTAGAATGCACGAACACTAACAACACACACACACACACACACACACACACACACATTTTTGTATTTCTTGAAATATACAGTTATTTGTTCTTAAAATCTTATTTCTTATATGCTAATGTGGTTCAATAGTTACTTGGCCAAAATATACAGCAAATCACAACTTATAAGACAGCAGTGTTTCGTTCTTAAATATAAGCAGCATCCTCAACTACTCTAATTCAAATTGTTGAGAACTTTGATACGGTTTGATATTGTTGACTGCATGGCACTTCCATAAAATACTGATGTATTGTAAAGATCTGTGGGCCTGAAAAACAGCAGAATATATTACAGCCTGTCCTTACATGATGCCCATGAACAATATTGAAAGGAACGTTTTGTAACGTTGTGGCTCCCTCTACTGGCGTAGTATCTAATTGCATTTTGAGATAAGGCTGTTAAATGTAATTTAAACCAAAGTGCCCCATTCAAACTCAATCTGAAGATTTTGCATGGAGCAGACATATGTATATAGAAGAACAGGCTATAGGCCTATATTTATATAAATGATGTGTCATATGATAAAATGTCTTCTGCAAGCAAGCAAAGTACAGGTATTAATGACTTGAATAGTTTTATAAATACATGTTTTCCATCCTTTGCTGTACTGCTAAAACTCTGACCAGAACATGGGGTTTTTGTCATGCTGTGTCTACAACAAAATAAAGGAAAACATATTTAATCGCATTTTCCACAATTAACAAGGAGACAAGGAGCAATATTTGAAAAGCCATGCTGGGTACAAGTTTAAAAATTTATAATTTTTACACGCTAAATTAGACACTAGGCTTATATTTAAGTGAATTATACAGACACATTTTATACCCTTGATTGTTTACAAATGTTGTAATGTAAACATAATATGTGGCCGTTTTGTAGTTTTGTGACTTTATGCTCTAATCATTTTCACAGTGGTGGTAGAAATACATTCGTCTCATAATCAGTGCAGTTAACATGGGGCCACATAAACCTTGTGGTTGTTGGATGACTGCCTGCTTTTCTGAGGCACATAGCATGCTAGCATGTCCAAAAAAATCCATCAATTATTAATTACATTCATTTGAGGAAGTCAAATCAGTAACAGTTTGTTTTCATGATCAAACAATAACTTTATTCACAATCAATGAGGAATAAGAAAATGAAAAGCTACCTGAGGGCTTTCCTCAGCGTAGCTCTGAATGTAAATAAAGTTGAAGCTACGACTCTGACATGTTCGATATAAAGTCTTTCGTTCAGTTTATAACAAATCTCATTTTATTTTGATAAAGCATATGAAGTTTGCTTTACTTCAGTTTCCCTTCCAGTAGACGGCGCCGTGGTTCAGGCACATATGTCAACATCAGGCCAACTGGAACGAAGAAGAGCGATTTCGGAAATTCGGGATAGAAAACCCAAATAATTTTTTGTAAAAATGGCTTTTGTGTCCAGTAGTGATGATTTATTTGACTCCGTTATCATGGCAGATGACAGGTTAAATCAGCGCGTTATTTACACACATAAACTTCTGTCACTCGATGGCGTTTTAACCCCTTCTCAGTGTTCAGTGACTGTCACTGTACACGTTTCTGTATTTAGGCTCCATACATTCTCTCTTGTTTTAGGTTTCATGATGAAGGGTATCAGGAAGGGTTTGAGAAGGGAACTCGACAGGGAACCATCGAGGGTAGAAATCACGGACGGCTACACGGAGCCAAACTCGGTGCACAGGTGATACAGACTGATACACACAATTCAGTTCATTTAGATTAAAGACAGATAAAGTCTTTCCATGAGAACGACACTAGCAATAAATGTCTTCTCAGCTTTCACATCTTTTCAGCTGGCTGAGCTTATAATGATTCTGCTTGAGTAACCCTGTTGAAAAAAACAGCATATGCTGGTTAGGTAAGTTTTGACGCTGGGATGCTGGTTTATGCTGGTCCTTTGCTGGTTTAAACTGGTCCTTTGCTGGTTTATGCTGGTCCGTTTGCTGCTGGTCCTTTGCCAGCACATGACCAGCATAAACCAGCAAAAGGACCAGCATAAGCCAGCAAAAGGACCAGCATAAACCAGCAAAGGGCCAGTTTAAACCAGCAAAGGGCCAGCTTAAACCAGCAAAGGGCCAGCTTAAACCAGCATCCCAGCGTCAAAACTTACCTAACCAGCATATGCTGTTTTTTTCAACAGGGAATGCGAATAGCTTTCTGGAAAAGCAGTGTCAGGTTTTTCCTGTTGTATTATTACAATGATTTCTAAATTCTGGGGCCTCACAACTGAACACGCAGTTGACACGAATGACAGCATTGCCATGCTTTAATCCTTTTAAAAGATTTTAAGCAACATGTATTATTATTAATTATATTGTTATTACTACTACTACAACAATATTATAGATTTTAGTCCTTTTGCAATTTCCTTTGTTTCCTCTTATCTTTTTAAAGAATTCATTTTCATTATTTTTAATTATAATTTTTATTATTTTTATTAAAATAATTTATTGAGAAATTCGAAATGTCTATAAATAATTAAAAGTGTGTACAGAGCATATATTCAGTTTTATAAATTACTCTTTTAAGTGAAATGTTTACTTTTTGTAAGCTCGTTGTAACCATGCATGAGACACCAGATCTTCTGCTGCTTTTTTTTTTCAGGTTTCTTTTTATTATGGATTTGCCCTTGCATTTAAATATCTCCTTCAAAACAGTAGTGATATTAAAGCAAGGTATGTTCTTTAACACTTAACAGACACTGCTTTTCATCAGGAGCCGGTAGTCTTGATTATTTCTCTCACTGCTAACTTTCTCTCTTCTTCTAGAAAAAGGCTGAAAGCTATGGAATCTTTGATTGGATTGATCCAGAACTTCCCATATGAGGACCCACAGTATGAGAAACTTCAAGAGGACATGGAAAGGGCGTGTGCCAAGTTTAGACAGGTAATGTCATCAAACATGCCCCATCATCTCTTTGTTAGAATGCAAGCTGACTGTTTCTAATTGGATATTTTAACTGTTAATTATCAAAATAATATCTGTCTAACATATTTCATCTCTACAGGTGTGCTCTTTACTGAACCTGGCAACAGAATATGTGAGTGGATCAACGGGAATGTCCTTCTAAGACGACAGGAGCCTTACAGCAGCCATGGCGATGATCTGCAGACAGACAGTACTGATGAGGGGGTTTGTGGTGCTCAAGTGCAATGTGTACACGAGTGGACTGTTATCACTCTCACTGGACTTGTAATTCAGAATTCTGGAACAGTTCTTTAAGCTGAATTCTAGAAAACAGAGTGGAGGCGTTTGAGTGGTATTCTTAGGCGTTTGAGAGTTTTAAAGTGAGATAAACAGTGGTGAAATAGCAGCAGTAATACAAGTTCATTTAATATACAAGACAAACCAAAGTCAGCGTCTTCATAAGAATATTCCATCTCCTAAGATGATTTTTAAAAATTTTTATGGACACAGCTGTTTAAAAAGAAGACTAGAAACCCCTTCTTGTGGTGAAACTGGGAGAATGGTTCTTGCAGTTAGGTGGCACCGCCTGCTGGTAAACTGCAAGTACTGCAGGATTGTTACTTGTGACATTAGAATAAATTAAAATCAGTAATGAAATGGGTATAAGCAGCACAGACAGTTTTGCAAGAAATGTTTTACAATTTTGACTCTTAGAATGCTTTACTGATGAGTCTACGTCTACATTAAAAGACATTTCAGAATAAAGTAAATGATGAACGTGCATTATGATGATGTGTGGCGGTCTAAATTATGATCCATATAATTATGTTATTAATAGTAATGATAATAACAATGACTTTTTCAAATAATTTGTATTATTATTAATAATACTTATTTTTGTTGATGCTTTTTCCTTTGTCCTTTATTAGTTCAAGATGTCATAAATCCTTTAGATGTATTGTAATAGAGATCTATTTTTAAAGATTACATAATCCAGAGCTGGTGGATTAGATTGATTTGACATTACACATCTGCCATTTGCAGAAATCCCATTTACCTTTAGTTAGTCTTAGTTAACCAGCCCTAAATCCTAAGAAATTCCTTTGCTGGGTTCCTCAGTGCTATTTCACGTGTGGTCAGCAGAGTCTCCTGACAGATAGTTTTCCTCCCCTCTCCTGGGTCCAGAATGGGGACAGTTGCTGTGGGTGCACCAATGGTGTAGTGGGGCCCGTGCGAGAGGCCAGGGGGCTGTGCGACGCACTCTGGTTTTGTTCTGCTCCCCTCACACTTGAAGTCTGAGGTGCAGATCAGAATTCAGGCAGACAGGAGTTGGCAGGATATTAGAGGGTGTTTCTAGAGATGGCAGCTGGTCTACGCTGTGGGCAGCAGCAGGTAAACACTAGGCCTGTTGGCGGCACCTTCTGAGCCCTGACAGATAAAACCCTGCTCTTCCCTGAAGACCTCCAGTCAGCTGCTACATCGGTCATTTTGTGCTGGTGGAGTCATACAAGGTTTGGTTTAGGCATTAATTAGAAGCCAGAACTACATATATGTGACCCTGGTCTTAAGTCGCTGGGGTATATTTGTAGCAATAGCCAAAAATACATTGTATGGGTCAAAATTATAGATTTTTCTATTATGCCAAAAATCATTAGGATATTAAGTAAAAATCATGTTCCATGAAGATATTTTGTAAATTTCCTACTGTAAATATATTAAAACTTCATTTTTGATTAGTAATATGCATTGTTAAGAACTTCATTTGGACAACTTTAAAGGTGATTTTCTCAATATTTTGATTTTTTTGCACCCTCAGATTCCAGATTTTCAAATAGTTGTATCTCGGCCAAAGCCACATATTGTCCTACCCTAACAAACCATACATCAATGGAAAGCTTATTTATTCAGATGATGTATAAATCTCAATTTCGAAAAAATTGACCCTTATGACTGGTTTTGTGGTCCAGGGTCACATATTATAAAGTAGTGGACAATGAATATCACTGCATTAGAAAATAACTAGAAATGAGTTAAAAAATAAAGTCAAACCAAGTGCCATTTGCAAACAAATGATGCTAGAGCTTTTCTCTGAACTGACTTTCAAGAAGCTGAAATGAGTAATTTTTGCTTTAAAACAAGTGGAATTGATTTTATAGGATGGACAAGTTAAAGTTCACTCAGGTAGTTCATCACACAAACTATGAATGTAATGATTCACAACCACAAAGTTTCACAATTCCGTTTCACAATTCACAATTTTGTTCTTTAAAATAAACCCACCTTGGTTTGATATTTTGTAAACCTATACAATGATTTAATGATTCTAGTACATTTTTAAGTGTGGTTCAAGTTTCCAAATACTTTAGCAGCCACTGTATATTATGTTCAAGAAATAGTATAACTCAAAAATCTAAATTCAGTCGTTTACTCATCCTTTGTCATTCCAAACCTGTACAAAAGATGATAATTTGGGGTTGAAACAACACTGGATCCCATTGACTTTCATTTCTCATTCAGATTTGATATTTTTATCTTCAGTCAGTCACACAGGTTTAGATCGACATGAGGGCGAGTAAATGATGGCAGGATGTGCATTTTTGGGTGAACGTTTTCATATTGTGATGTTGTATAATTAGAGTCCATGAGTGGCAGTAGAGTCTACTGTAGAGTGTTAATATTTGTATGATCCATAAATGATACATCATCTTTCTCAGATATTGTGTGTGTGAGTGAGAGAGCAAGGGGGTGACTAATTCCAAATGCAGAACAGAAGAACATGAACTTGGGGGGTGTAAGACAGAGGGCTGAGTCTGTGAAAGGGAGTTAGAGGAGCAATGTTTCTTTGGTTTCCTTTCAGTTGTGGAACAGAGTGGATGGGGCCAGCGAAAGGGAGGGAGGCAGAGAAAATGAAGCAGGACGCTGGAAGGTTTCAGAAAATGTTCAGGAATTTCAGGAGCAGGTGGCGAGTGGTGACATGAAAGGAGGACGTGACAAATGCAACCGACGGGCCTGAAATAGAATGTACTTTTTTTAATGGTCTCTATAAGTAATTACTTATTCAAAAATAAAAAAAGTACCTATTCAGAGAGTATGCAATTTTCATATGAAGCCATAGTGGTTGTCAAATGTTCAAACAGGTTTATAGTTATTATGACTAACTGTACCTCTGATCACTCTGCTAGGACACCTGAGTGAACTTGAGGAGAGTGTGAATTTGGAATAGCATACTACTCTTATTTCTGCCTTATAAAGATATGGTAAAAATAGTAATTGTATGCTTTCCTGTAGCTCAAACAATAGAGCATGGCACTAGTGATGCCAAGGTCATGGCTTAAGTTCCCAGAGAAACCAAGAACTAATAAAAGGTATACCTTGAATGCAAAGCAGGTTGCTTTGGATAAAAGTGTCTGCCACATGCATAAATGTAAGAGTTGTATGCTAGTACACGGTTCAGAATTCAGCCACTGTTTAGCTCCAGTCTAGCTGACCAGAAGTTTGTAGTAATCATGAAGACCTAGATTAGCTGGTTTGAGTGTGTTTAATTAGGGTTATAGCAATATTCTTCAGGACCTTGGCCTTTCAGGAGCTGTATTCGACACTAAAATCACTTTGCCATCGGTTGGTTTAAAAGAAAAGTTAGTTCTGACAATCTCTAGATTACTTTGTTTCCTGATGCCATCTGGTTTATTATTTTGTTACTGAATACAATGACATTCATACATTGGTATGTATGTTTTAAATTTCCAAATACTTTTTGGCACCACTGTATGAATTCTGCATCATCTTTATACATAAAAAGTCTTCTTTGTTCCAAAGCACACTACTTGTTTGTTACAGTACAGTAATGGAATATCTTATAGTTAAATGTCTTGCTCAAAAGTAGAATGGTGATAGTTTTGTGGATCATCCCTCAAAGAGTTTGAAAAGTTAACCAAAAGTTGAAAAATGACCAATTAAGTCATTTAACTTATCTTTATAATTTTTTATCAAGACCTACATTACCTGATATGCACTTTTCACATGTGAACAGAGTTCAGTTTTTGTATGTCAGATCTTGGAAAGGCAAACCTTCGAAAGGTAGCACTTTAGCCTTTGGAACAGTGTGTATGAGGCGAGCAATGTTGCTCCTTCCTCTGAAACCGCAGACACCGAGATGCCAAAAGCCAAAGACACAGTATTATCTCAAACCTCAGTCGGTAGCGAAGGTGCGTGAAATAGTCTGAGTTCTTTCTTTCTTCCAGACTCCTGACTGATGCCTGCTGGCCTGTCTGCAGTGTGCTTCAAAACAGACCATCAAAGACTGTCTGTTGGGCATACCAGATAATACTTTGACAATAAAAGAAGGGTATCACCTGCTTGAGACATGAGAGAACAGCATTTATTTACTCAACAGACCAATCCTTTCTCACCTTAGCAAGGTTCAACATTCACTTCCTCTAAATGCTGTTATTTTCAGAATCTGTTTTAGCTGTACACATAAGACATATCTTCAGTTTCCTGCTTAATTAATATTTAGTGAATCTAAAAGTTTTGAAGCAAAATCAAGAACAGCCTGTTTTCAGCTGCTCTTTTTTTTTTGGAGGCATGTGACACAAAGATGCCCCTTTCTAAGCAATTGCTGATAGGCCATATTTCATATTTTAAGCATTTAATTTGATAGTTTTACATGTGCCATAGGTGAATTCAGTTAAATTGGGCAACTTTAATATTCAGTATTTCTTGTGTGCGTTTCTTTCTCCACATTTTTAATTCAGACAATTATTAGTTCATTAGTCTAATAAAATAACAACATATAATGACTTAAAAGGATAGACAGTGAAAGTATGTAATTGTATTGACACAAAAAGATATACTGTATATTGTTTTCAAAATATATTCTTTTACATGTTTGAAATATGAGGTTGAGTAAATGACAGAATTTTTTAACATTTTGTATCCAAAGCTGTGCGAGCACAATAAAAAATACAAATCACGCAAGACAAGTGGTTTTTGAAGCTCAAGTTTTTATTCTAGTTAACCTCATGTCTAAGATGGGTCAGCAAGATTGTGCATTTCAGACCAGTGACCGGTTTGTGAACAATAAAAAACAAAAATCAAACCATGACATTGCATTTCAGGATCAACACATTTTGATCCTTGGGAATGAATACCATATTTAACTAAAAGACACTACAGGTTTGTTTACAACAGAATTGAGACATAA